GAATCAAATGTGTGGCTCTCTGCTGGTTGCACATTTTCTGCTATCAGATTGGGGGAATTAACGCTGACATTAACACAGCAGCCAAATGGTGGTACATTCTGATTGTGCCTGGTAATTGAGATCTCTCGCACACTTGTTGCCAGCTACAGAAGCAGATTAGTTTCTGATATAAAAGCATTTTGATTCTTGATCCTGTAAATGGCTTTAAAAGGTGTGGAGGAGGGGAGCTAATAATAAGCCTGATAGAGATGTAAGGAAGGGGTAAGTGATGTTCTTGCCAAAAGGAAACTCTTCAAGTGTTTAAGTCTTGAATAATAATTCAAGTATACATGTCTACGCAGGCAGTGGAACAATATGGAAGCTCAGCTATTTCACACTTTACACTGCATTTCTTCCTTCAGGCGGCATTTTAATGTATGTATATATTGTGTATTAGTATTCCATGGCAGCTGCACACATTTTTACCAATGCAGCTACCCTGGGAGAATAAACAGATAGAGGCAAGAGAGATAATTAATCCTTTCCTTTTTGCAATACAAGTCTTGTATTGCATTTTGATCCCAAATTTAGAATCCGCTATCCACTTTGAAGATAAACTTAGTCTATGCATCTCACAGCTTCTGTTTCACATAATCAGATGGCTCCAGCAGGCTGATAGTATCTCACCAATCGCTGGATGCATTCGTAAAGTTCATGTAAACGCTTCCAAATGGCGACAATTTAATTACTGATATCTGCATCAGAATTTAGTCATTGCTTCGCTGTGCTCCTCTTTGATGTTCGTGATAGATACTTAAATGCCACGGTACATATGATACCATAATGTTGGAGTACTGTAGTACTGCGGTACCTCACGGCATCACTACTGTGGGATAAGTTCAAAGTCGGATCGCAAGAGGGTGAGTGTCCATGCGCCGTCCAATAATGGCGCCCGCTGGCCAATAACAGCGCACGCTGGCCACCTGGCACTCAATATGCTGCTGCAGTGGTTTGTTTTCCAGTGACATTTCAGGTATTAGCTGAGCTATTGAGTATCTTAAGCAGTGAAAGTTATTATTTCTTTTTACTTGTAGGCTAGATTTCTTTATATATGTAACAGTGATTTGTTTGTAACAGTGAATATGGCGGAGGCTCCACCGTATTCCTGTCAAATACGGCAGCCATAGTGCTCCGTGGCGCAAGATAACGGCTTACTGGTGACGGAGAAGCCTGGCTCCAGGTCCAATAATTTCCTCTTTCGTTGGCGTCATGACTGCCCAGGAGAACCTGGACAGCCGAGCCATGGCGGCACACAGGTATGTGGCGTGTCAGAGGAGAAACGAGCCGTTCACATTTCTCTTTGTGGCAGGTAACGGTCCACAAACCTCAGCGCACTGTTCTTTACTTATGGAGGGACTGCTCTTTACTTGTCAGGGGAGGAGGATGGCTGGTTGATTTTTATTATTTATTTATTTTATTTTGATCCCCCCTATGTTAATCACTGATTGATGCTGATTTTGAAGTATGAATAAGTCAATAAGTAATTTATTCCATTGAAATATCATTGATGTATTATAGAAAAGTGATTTATCTTTTTATAAATGACAAAAGGCACATCTGCCTCATTTTCGCTGTGGTATCGTGATACTACTCAGAACCGTGATACTTTCACTGGTATCGTACCGTGGGTCCCAATTTTGGTACCGTGACAACACTAGTTCACTGCACATGAACTGTGAGGGCGAGCATGTGTGGAGGATGATAAAACAACACCTACACAGCCCACTGCTGACAGGATGCCAGCCAGCCAGAATGGCTTGTGCTTACTTAGGTGGAGCTGACAAAACGTGCACATCAGTCAATCTGTCAGCGAGAGACGCCCTAGGTTAAGTTCAACTCCTAGAGAGAAGGAAGAGGCAGAAAGAGAATAAACAGGAGAGATAAAGACAAAGGAGAAAGTGAACATAATCGAGAGAGCCGAAGGCAGAGAGAGAACGAGAACTAATCAGAACACGATCCAACTCACTGTCCTGACCTGTAGAAACAGAATGCTGCTCAACAAGCTCCTGAACGCAGCGTATGCACACACACTGAGCGTCTCCCTGGCGGGGCCTGACTTGTCACAGCTCAGCTCGGCGAACAGATGCAGGTGGTGTAGGCTCGACACAAGAGAAGGTCACACACACTGCTCTATTACACTCAGCTGTTACACCCAAACCTAAACACGGTCCTCGGCCAAGAACTACTGTCCATCAGCACCGCTTCATGTGACATTTTCGGCTCATTCAGGCTCGTCCAAACACCAGACGGGAGCATGAGCTCTCAAACACGCCTCGTCTTGCATCTTTTTCACATTAAGATGACACCCTAATCCCGGACAAGTCGTAATGGGTGCACTGGGAGGCCTTCGGTGTCTGGCTCAAGGACGAGCTGCCTGGGGTGTTTCAGCTGAATCAAAACCTGTGACCTTGCACTTATCAAACAGCCTCTTTTTAAAGCACAGCACCACTGTAGCGTGACTTTCATCCATCATGCTGCTTTTCAAAGGCTGGGACTGAGCCCAGAGAGTCACAGGTCGGAGGATATAACTCCAACACTGTAAGTAGAGAAACAACATATTTTTCCATAGTAGTCTGCAAACGAGTGCATCAGCTTTGCAGCCGGTGTGCAACTTCCCCAAAAAACTAAAGGTGCAGAGAGAATATTTAAACACTCCTTTCTGTTTCGGCTGTGCAAATTAAAGTCCCACTTGTCTTTCTTCTGATTCCACTCCCTTGCCGCACAAGTTTGCCGAGCCGCTGACAGAATTAGCGGAACGTCAGCTGGCTCCCCTCTTCTGTCAGTCTGTCTCCCCTCCTCCGATAAGCGAGTCCAATCCTGCTGATGTATCCCTGTCTTCAGTCAAACTCGCGGCCTCGACGACGCGCTTTCAATCAGGCCCGCCAGCTCTGGGTCCCTGCAGTAGATCATCTCGCCACATCACAGGGATCTCGGCGGCGAGATCTGCTTAAACTCACCTTCATAAAACATTCATCCTTATCTCTTGATGGCTATCCACATGCAGACTCTCCTCCCTTAAATACGTCTCTACAATGTCCTAAAATGTTCCCTTTTTTTAAGCATCCACTACCTGTAATACTTGCCAAAAAAAGGACACAAATCCTGTCAGGAAAAGTGACATTTCATGCAGCTGGGTGTTTTTTGTAACCTGTGACAAGTTGATTTAAGCTGCCCGTCAAACCTGTGACCTTCAGGACACTTCCTCTAACCCCCGGACACGAGCATTAATTCATCCCTTCGCAGTAACAGCTCAGTCATGCTTGTTTAGTAACCAGCGAGGGAATGTGCCATGTCCTACATTTATATTCCGCATGTCGTATGCCCTTTACCACCTTTGGCTTGCTCGCTGAGAAATCCACTTGTCTGTTGTGTTCAGTCGTTAACAGCTGCGACCACCTGTGTGGCCATTTTGCTGCAGTGTTAGCCAGCGTGTGGCGGTTTGTGTACGGCCTTCTGGGAGTAAAAAAAAAAAAAAAAAAAAAAAGGCCATGACAAACATAACATTTCTGCAGCTCTGCAGTTAGGAGGACAGTGCATTAAATAAGACCTTCTCATGGATGTTTGTGAGGGGTGCAACAAGGAATTCTGGCTCCTTGTGTCCTTGCCAACTTCCCCCCAAAAATGCCCAGATGGGGGGGAAACAAAGGGTGTCACAGCGTTTGGTGACGCGAGGATCCAGACAGATTCTTGGCAAAGCCGCGGGCCGCTTGTTTTTACGGAAGCGCACACACACAGAGTCCCTGGAGTGTCCTCAACAATCAACGCTCAGCTGCAATAAGCTGAACCCTACGACAACAGTATGTCTGCCGCTCAATCGCTTTGTTTGCACGAGCAGCTACTGTGCACTTGAGTGTGCGATTATGGCTGAATGTTTGTGTACGAATACACATGCAGTCATGTGTAAAATTTGCATGTTGAGTGCATCTGTATGTGTGTGTGTGTGTGTGTGTGTGTGTGTGTGTGTCTGATGACAGCGGGCTGATTAAGCTGTTGCATAGTAATGAGCTATGGCTGTCTGTCTGGCAGCTGCTCTGACAACCTCTTTTCACAACTAGCCCTCCCACACACACACACACACACACACACACACAAGTGCACACACGAGGCACACAAGTGCACGCGCCGACACAAGACACACTCTGGAAAGGCAGCAAACCAAACGTGACAACTGCACCGATGTGTCACTGCCCGTGGTTGAATCATTGGGAAAGTTGCGAGGCGAGGAGAGAAGAGGAGAAGAGACATAAAAGAGGGAGATCATGTAACAACACACTCCGTCTACACTTCCTCTCCTTCGCCCCCTTTGTTGTGTTTTCATCCTGATAATGACCGCCGTTCAGGAATAACAGTCATTTCCTGCCTCAAATCACCGATGTCAGGGCGAATACCAGCCGCGGCTCGGAGGGCATGTGTGCCTGAATGCTGTGTTTTTGTACACTTGAGTACCTGAGTTTGTATTGGAATCATCTAGCCCCCCCCCCCCCCCCCCCACACACACACACACACACCTCCTTTTAATCGTCTGTTACAAATATCTCCGGGGCAACAAGATGGATGTGCTCATTTTACGGAGGTCAGTGCATGAAGAAGACTGGGAATGGTGAGTTTGAGGACAAAAACAAATCAAGTAAATGTCATTTTACACAAAAACATACAGTAGGAAACTACAGGAAAACAACCCGCCATGTTTCCATGTTTGTTTATGTTTACTCCCTGAGCTGTGTACAGAATAGGAGTAGTGGGAGGGTTTAAATATGTGAAAAATACACAATTATCTCAATAGTTTCACGGTTTAAATGCACAAATTGCTCACAGGCAGTGAGATAAACTGCTCCCCATTTTGCAGGAGGTGGAGGGGGGGGGGCACCCATGAGTCCCCAAGGACCCCCCCCCACCCTCCACCCCCTTTGGGACCGCTAATGCAAAAAGACACCAAAGGTAATGTATATCCATCGCCTTACCTTGTTGACGTCCCCTTCCTGACATCACACATCATGCACTTAAAAGCCTCTGCCGTGTTCTTGTACGTGCACACGCTGCAGTCCCAAAACCCCTCGTCGGAGGAGGGCTTCGGTTGACGCTTCGGCCTTTAAAACAATAAATGTACAACACAAAAAGAAGAAAATTAAGACATTAAAAAACGACAAGGAATGATGGGGGTGAAGAAGAAAGGGGGGCAGGAGGAGTGAGTTGCATCCAGCACAGCTATCGATAGCAAACATCTGGGTGAGCCTATAGGATTTAGGGGGAAATCATCTGCAAGCGCGCTGTGATCCGACACTGTAATTGGCGATGAGGTTTTAACACCCGCGCGCGCACACACAGCCGCACGCGCACACACACACACGCACTGGGAGAGAGAAGAGAGAGAGACACCGTGGAGAAAACCCTTTTTTTTCTCCTTCCCGTGCGCTTGTCGATGTCCGCTCCCCTTCTCTCCCCCGCTCCGATATCTAGGACGCACGGACTCGGCGGTTACCTTGTGGGACTCCTCTTGTCGCCCATGCCAGACCTGCGGTTATGTGGAGGTGCTGAGACGAGCACGAGTCTTGTTATTTCCAGTAATTTTAGCAAAGAAGCGATGCGCCCGTGCCGCTCGGCTTCCAGCTGTCGTGGAAACTCCGCTTGGGAGCTGGGCACGTGACTCGCCTCGGCCAATCACAGGCTGGTTCACTTCCCAGGCTGACATTCCTCTTGATGAATCGCTGCCGCGTTCATGTGTCCGCTGGAAGCTCGTACTTCTGAGCACTCTGGGTGTTGAATAGCCATTATCAGTGCAAGGAGGAGTGCTCTTCTTCTGCGGTGGATTTCAGATACTGTCCCTACTTTTGGGGCCAGCCGTTCATGATGGGGCCCGGGCCCTTAGGGGTGGACTGAGTGGACTAGCATGAGCTGAGGTCTTCAAACACATCTTCATGTCGGTTTATATGCTCAATATGCTCTTCTGAGAACTGTGAAACTGAGAATTTTCTGTTTGTTTTCTTTTTGTTTTGTTTTGTCTGTTTGATTTTTGTTTATCCTTTTGTTGTTTTTTTTATTGTTTGTTTGGTTTGGTTTTTCACAAGTGCAGAGAATGTGCTTTATGTTTGGGAATAAGTTGGAAAAGAGGATGTACATGAAGAGGTGTATATCTTCCATGCCCTCAATAAATATAATCGAAATTTAATCCCGTTAACACACCTTCAAAAAATCTCAGTAGTTTCCTTGGCACGTGCTTGACTCACTTTGGACACAAATACAGAATAGTTCTTGCATAAAACTCTTCAAATCTCAAAATAAATAAAAACCCAAATTAGGAACATTAACGTGCAGTACACAGAACACAAGTCAAACACTGGGGGGGACCAACCCTACACTACCCCAGAAATAAAATTTGAGATCTCATTTCCACTTATTAAATAAGCGTGGCACAGTGGTGTGGTGGTCAGCATTATCGCTTCACAGCAAGAGGGTTTCTGGTTTGTTTTCCTTGTGTTAGCATGGGTTTCCCTTGGGTACTCTGGCTTCCTCCCACAGTCCGAAGACATGCAGGTTAATTGGTGACTATAAATTGCCCATAGGTGTGAATGTGAGTGTGACTCTCTGTGTGTCAGCCCTGTGATAAACCCTTTTTAAACAGGAGTTGTGCAAATTTGCAGGAAAGCCCAATCAGTATTCTTTCAGTATTGGCAGTATATAAACAAAATTGGGGAGTGCAGCAAAATGCCACCTACCTACTTTTGTTTATACAGAATGTGCCTTTTTCAGGACAATGGGGGGGCGTGAGCAAGTAACAAAACGTGTAGCTCAGCATGTGACGTAAACAGTGACGTGGGAGGGAAGCTGTGGCTGGTCAGTCCTTTGGCGATTCTCTCGTAAGTTTGCCCGTTCCTCACCGTCCCCGTCATCTGACGGTTAATGACCTCTTCGTTTGCGAGGGCAAGGAGGGCGCGCAATTCCTTGTCTCCCCAGTTGCTCATCTTTACAGTGTCTGTCAGGTTTGTGTACATTGATTTGTTAGACACCCTCCGACCCCAAGCCGATCTAACAGTAATTTCTTATGTTTCTTATGCATTTCTCTTCTTTTTAGCCGTTTTATTATTAGCCGCTAGCCGTTAGCTTAATGCTAACTTAAAAGAAGGCTAATCCGAACCGAGCAGATATCGTTACTGTTTGCCGCTTGTCAGGTTAATGTTTTAATACTTAATTCAGCATACAGCTGAAGAGAAAACTTTAGATTTATTATTTTTATTTCTCTCCTCAAACTCTCTAACATTACAACCATTTCCTCAAACTTCCAGCCGCAACCATGGCTACAACCAATCAGGATTTGTGACTGCCATAAAGCCAATCATCATGCGTGATGTCATCAGTTAGTGCAGGACCCCAGACAAATCTGGCAGTCTGGACACATTCGGTACTTACACCGGCTCTGTGTGTCTAAACGCTTGCAGCTTGCCGGCAAAACGGCCCAACATTCTATGGCTATGGTAACTAGCATTAGTGATGGTTGACTGATTAAAACTCATAAAATGGGCCATTTCCACCAAAAACAGGTGAACCACGCACTGGACTGCAGCACACCATAATACAAGCACCAATAGTAGCCTACTAATAATGATGACTTGTTAAATTAATATGTTAATTTATTATGATTATATTTGGTAATGATGATTTCAGACAGGGTTTGCAAGGTTTCTTATCAAACCAAACAATTTTATAACATTATTTATATAAATATATGAGAAACAAAATGTGTACATGCTCATATTTTTCCCTTAAATATTTTTCAAAAGTAGCACGTACATGTATTTTCTTGGTTTATTTTCATCATGAATAAGGGCTACAGGTGTGGCATGTCATATGACTGGCTCAGGCAGCACTATGGTATTTAAGATGGTGACTTCCTGTCATGTATCACAAGTCTGAGGAAGAGTTGTGTGACTAGAAATGTCACTCTGCATTAAAATCCTTCTAAATGGTAGCTACTTGGTGTGCAGACTTATCTGGTTTCACTTTGCTTGTCATAGCAATATTTTTTAATGCATATTTTATATCAATATGGGACAGTTTTTAATAGCGTATTTATAGCTGTAATAGTTCATGTAGAGTAAGCATACAATTTTGTTATAGATTGCTACTGACTATCTTACAAGAAAAAATAAGGAAAGACAGAAAAAGAGAACCATGACATGGATGAGTTTGCCTTTTTAAGGTGTAAAGTGAAAATGGCATTTCCCTTAACTTACCCTTAATTTTCATTTGATCACAATGGTATTCTTGAAGCGCAATTGGAATTGTGTGTCTACAGTCCCCTCCACTCACCCACAATATTCTAATATGCACAAAATGTCCTCTTACATATTGATAATGTAAATAATAAAATGCTATGCCACAACAGACCCGCCTGCCCCAGCAGATTTGGTCCCCTCAGTGTTGACTTCATAGCTCCGGCCTTGATTCAGTGTATCCAGTCCCCTTGTCATCAGCTCTTCAATTTCCCACTGCACTTTAAATGCAGCACAACCCACAGTCTCTAATGTTGGATCCACAGCACTGAGTTAACCGCTCACATCAGCTCCCTGTGCTGCTGGGAGTCCTCTCTCATCCCTGTATCTTCGCATTTGACTCTCAGACTGCAGAAATGCTGCAGCAGTTTAGATCACATAAACACCGGGGAATCCCTCTCTTTATCTGAGTGCTGACGCAAGCGAGCATCAAAAAGCACTGCACCGTGACTCTCATCTATCCTGCTGGTTTTCAAATGGAGCCGAGACAGTCAGGGGATCCCACACATTTTCATATCAAGGACAACCCACTGGATCTCCATTATGTCCCTACAATTAGATTTACCGCAGGGGAACCTCAACTGCTGCGTTTTAGCTGTTGCAATATTTAGGGTTTACTCACACTGTAGGCTGCAGCCATTGGTTCACAAGTATTCAATCCTTTTTGGTAATGTACAGAGTGGAAAAGAGGTTAAACTTTGCTTTCTTTTAAATGTTACACTTGAAAGATGCGATAAGATGTGATAAGATATGATAAGATGCAATAAGATGCAATATGATATGATAAGATGCGATAAGATAAGATGCGGTAAGATGCGATAAGATGCAATATGATACGATAAAATGTGATGAGATGCGATATGATACGATACGATGAGATACCATAAGAGGCGATAAGATAAGATGCGATAAGATGTGATATATGATATGATGTGATACCATAAGAGGCGATAAGATAAGATGCGATATGATACGATACGATGTGATACCATAAGAGGTGATAAGATGCGATATGATACAGAGAGTATTCACAATCCCACACACTCAGTACCTACAGTACATATACAGACTGCCATCAGCCAACAAATTGACCGCTCACGCCCATTACACAACACGTGTTTTACATAGTCATCATAAAAATGACATTGTTATGTTGGAAAAAATGTGTATATATGTCCATGTGTATGTATATATATATATATATACATACCTACACATTAACATTGTATGGTTAAGCTACAGTTTGCTTCCCATTTCAGGCTTTGATGGACAAGGGGACAAAAGAGTTTTCAAAGCAGTTAAGCCTGCACAGGGGGGACTCTAAATCGTCTGCCTGAGGAGAGAAGGTGGTACTTATGATGGAGGACATGGGTGGGGTCTCAGATAATCCTCTGGGTCTGTAATGCCCATAATGGTTTGCTCAAAGCTAGACTGGAGTGTGGCATGCTGCCTGACTCCCATGATTTTCATGGCTCTCTGCATAAGCCTGGTAATCCGGGCCTTCAGTGGTACAAGACGTTTACTTTTCTTACAGTATATAAGCTTACATGGTATTTCTAGAAACAGAAAAACATCTTAATTCTATGTACAAGAGGAAAAAAATCCAACTTCATCGGTGTAAATAGAAGCATGTTTAATATCCAATATCCCCACTATAATACAACTTACAAAAATAAAGCAATATTTGACAACAACAAACATATGTCTAAATTGTGTATTATTGTTATTATTAGTCACTGAGCTCCTCCTCATCACTGAAGTACGCGCTCTTTTTGATCCGTGGTTTCTTAGAGTCTGAGGACGTTGAAGCGTGAGCGTCGTCCTCTTGAGACAAACGTGCCTGCTTTCTCTGCGTCTCCTCCTCCTCGATACGGGCTTGCTGGAGAGACGCAAAGGACGGGAGAAGTATGATACTGCTAAAAGATGATAATATGTTTTAACAGCAATTATTCATATAATCTACTGGCTCTCCTCTTTTATTTGTTGCATTTCAGTCAAGGTGTCTGTTTGGTTTTCTGTATCTGCACGCTTACCTGAAAAGCTATGGCTTGGCTCAGACTATCTAAGGTTGGGTCCTCTCCCTCCTCTTCACTTTCTTCTTCTTCCTCTTCACTGTAAGGGAAAACATATCGGAATTACAACAATGACACAGTCTGTTAGACGACATCTCACAACACCAGCTGTAAAACACTTACACATGCTCAGGCTGTTGAGCCCTTTTCTTCTTTTTCTTTTCTTTCTTCTTCGGTGGTTCCCTCTCTCCCAGGACATTTTTGGGGCATGCGTAGCTCAGATGACCCGAATCCTGTCATGTTCCATTTAAAAAAAACAAAAAAAACACACACAATATCAGACAACTCTCTGGGTAATTTTCTACACTTTTATTAATATTTTTCAGTAATTTCACAGGACAAATAACATTAAATATGCACTAACCCCACATTCGTAACATTTGGTCTTGTCTGTGTAGTTCCGTCTCCTTATAAACTCAGTTGCTCGCCCATTGTCTATGGCAATACTGGCTTTCACTGTTCTGCCAAACAGCTGGGAGACAAACACATTGTGATTCGGACAAGTGAATATTCATTAAAAAAAACAAGTTTTTATATTTCTGTCAACTTTCACTTTTACTTCACTACATTTGTTGTTGTTCTTCTTCTTTATTTATACAGCCCTTTACAACAACCCTTTCGGTGAACCAAAGTGCTTTACAATAGGTGCAAAAAACAATTAAAAATAAATAGAGGCAATAACAACAATAAAAACAATAAAAGCAATGAAAATAATAAAAGCAATAGGAGCAATAAAATACAATAAAATAAAGTAAAACAGAGTAAAAGTAAAAGAGTCACCACACTACTGGGTATTAAAAGCCATCCTAAATAAATATGTCTTCAGTCTAGATTTGAAAAGGCCCAGGTCAGAAATGAGGCGCATTTCAACAGGGAGCTTATTCCAAAGCCTGGGAGCAGCGATGGAAAAGGCTTGATCACCCCAGTGTTTGTATTTTGACCTGGGCACTTCCAGCAAAAGTTGGTTTGACGATCTTAGCGCTCTACCAGGTTCCCGAACAGTTAAAAGCTCAGTTAAGTACACTGGGGCGAGACCATGAAGAGCTTTAAAAACAAACAGTAAAATTTTAAAATCAATCCTATACTGGACGGGAAGCCAGTGAAGGGATTTAAGAACAGGAGTGATGTGCTCTCGTCTGTTAGTGCTGGTTAAAAGACGGGCCGCAGCATTTTGCACCAGCTGGAGGCGACCAAGAGAAACCTGGGAGACACCAACATAGAGAGCATTACAGTAATCCAGTCTAGAGCTTATAAGAGCATGGATGGCCATTTCGAGGTTGCGGCGACTTAAAAACATTTTAACTTTGGCCAGGAGACGAAGCTGGAAAAAACTAGTTCGGACAACACTGTTTATTTGTTTGTCGAATTTAAGGTCTGAGTCAAGAAACACTCCCAGATTTCTGACATTTTGACTGAGTGTTGGAAACAAGGTTCCAAAGCCAGCCGTCCCTGTGTCCCCAAACATGATGCACTCTGTTTTACCATCATTAAGGTGAAGAAAATTCTGGGCCAACCACTGCTTAATTTCAGCCACACAGGAAAACAAAGAACTCTGCGCACTTTGACTGTTTGGCTTCACTGGCAGATAAATTTGCAGATCATCTGCATAACAGTGAAAGGAGAGGTTGTTCCTGGCTATAATTGACCCAAGAGGCAACATATACAAAGAAAAAAGAATAGGGCCAAGAATAGACCCCTGTGGGACCCCACAGGAGAGAGGAGCACTTGACGAGGACATTTCCCCTTAGCATCTTAGTTACTTACTAAGAAATAGGGAAGGAAGGAGGAAGGATGAAGCGATGGATGAATGAAGGAGTGGGAGAGAAGAAAAACTAGATTTTGTTCTGTAAATCTTCTAAGTTTTTTTATTCAAGTGTGATGTAGGCTCAACTTTTAAGGTGGTGCACATGTTGAGAAGAAATAAATGTCATAATTCTCAAAATTCTGACTGCTTGCTTTTTTTAAAAACAGCATTAAATTGTACTTTTACGTTCAATAATCATTCATTAAGAACGTTTAATACAGTAAAGTGGTTAAAGTATCTGGTATTTACTGTACTTGAGTAATATTCTAATAGGTGATTTTAACTTCCACCAAAGTCATTTTCTGGTCAGAAATCTTTATCCACCACTGCTGACAAAGAGAAAGCAGCTTATGTCCAGGTTTACTGTCATATACATTAAAAAGTACAGTGTACATTCAATGTAGTGAAATACTTAATGCCCTGGCTCTCTTTCAGCCCTTAAAACCTACAAATAATACAATAATCAAAAAAACATACCCTGAAAATGAAACAGTTGCAACATATATTAGCAGCATACAATAAACTGTTGAGTAGTCTGACTGCCTGGGGGTAAAAACTATCTCTAAGGCAGGAGGTCCGAGCTTGGACGCCCTGCAGATGCATCCCTGAGGGAGAGAACAGGCTGTGTGAAACTAGTGTTCTTTGAAATACAAAGTGCTGTCCTCCTACAGCGGGTGGTGTAAATGTCCTGTTCTCCTATGATTTCTGATCCTGTGCTGTGATGTTGCCAAACCATACCAGCAGATATGCTTTCTCTTGTATTCGCTGACAAACACTATGTGAACACCTAATGGTCTCAATGCCACAGACCCACCTGTTTGTTGTTCACTGCTCGTGCACAGTTATGAGCTGACTCTCTGTCCAGGAAGAGAACAAACGCCACCCCTTTACTCTGGCGAGTGACTTTATCCTTTACGATTGTAACCCTGAATAAGCATGACAGTTATTAATACAGATTTCTAAAAAGGTGCAATTACTAATACAAGAAGGCATGTCTCTTGGGTCAGGCTTTTCTCCTGAACCACGAAGCATGATCACATCACTCCAGTTTTAGCCTTGTCATGGGTATTTCATTCACTGCTTTATTAGTCTTACACATTGCTGTAAAACATATATAACAGATGATTAAGGAGCTATTACTTACTTTACAACTTTTCCATATTTGGTGAACAGCTGAAATGACACACAGTGATCTGTTTCAGTGACACAATTAAGCTTTTGTTTGGCAAAACACATATCATACCACTGAACATTTGTCACTAACCTTGTGTAGGTCATTGTTGGTGAGAGAGAATGGCAGGTTGGACACATACACAGTGCTTTTGCTTGGTGCCAAACCCCCGCTCATAGTGGACGCATTAAAAACACTGGAAGACAACCAAAACATAATTTAGTACACAAGCAGCTCCTTAGCTAGCTAGCTAGCTAGCTTGGTAAGTCCGCCATTAATGTTATACATTTTCACGACACTGCAGCTGAGTATTACCCAAATGACTCACCAACACAGCCTCCGCCGTTTAAATGATATGTAAGTTTATTTAAAAAAGCAGAATTGTGTGTATTTTCACGCAGCTATGGTTTAGCATACAGAAACAAACGCCATGTCTGCGCGTCGCATTTTGATGACGTCGCGCCTCCCTCGTCCAATAAAAGAGACATGTAGCTAGCCACCGGGAAATGCCAGCCTAGCTTAACGGTCGAAGAAGGTGAGATTGTTTTGCTAATATGCGTGTAATAAATGCCATTTACCGCGGGTTATTGGAAGTGTATTTAACTAGAAGGTGTGATATTACGCCGCAGATATTTGTTTATGATTTTTGTGTGTCGGTATCGATGAGTCAACTCGCTCTGAGATGACACAAAACGTGCGGATGTTTGCAGGCTAGCTAATTAGCAGTGCTATCTGTCGATCTCACACAGAGCTACAGTAGCTTGCTTTTTGTAGCTTATCAGTTGCTGTCAAGCCAGTGCTCTGTGTGTTTATCCGCAGAAAGAAACTTCAGCACGCTCAGTTGCATCATATACAAGATAGTGTTTTTGTTTTGTACGTAACTGACAAAAGATACAGCTATTTGTTTTCATGTACAGGTCTAATCATGAAGCTGATATCCTGGACAGCTGCATGGAAAGCTATCCCAAGGGTGTAGTCAAATGCTAACTTACTGTTTTCTACAAATCTTTTTACAGTGTTTTTCCCCACACCACCCTGATCCACAGAGGTCCATTAGTCCAAAAGTAAGTTAGTGACTTGTCTTTACATCCTTTTGACACTGTTTTGTTTTTATTAAGATGATAACATAAAGACATGATTCTATCATCTGTAGAGCAGGGTATTAAAACATTATGCCAGTACCAATTCCCTTAAAGTGATACAGGTACAGATAGAGTGCTTCATTTAATACCTATTTTCCTACTTGATCCAATGCTCCTTGTGCTAAATAAGGCATTCAGTCAACTATTTTATAATAATAATAATACATTATACTTATATAGCGCTTTTTATGGCACTCAAAGACGCTTTACAAATTTAGGGACATGGAGAGAGAGGGGGAGTCTTGGATGGGTTTGGGGAGTGAGCTCCAGAGGGTGAGAGCAGCGATGGAGGCTGGCATCAGCAGAGCGGAGTAAGCAGGTGGGAGTGTGATGATGGAGGAGCTCAGCCAGGTAGGGTGGGGCCTGGCTATTGAGGGCTTTGTGTGTTAGGAGACGGATTTTGAAGTGGAGCTTATGGAGAACAGGGGTGATGTGGTCACGGGTGCGAGAGTGGGTGAGTAGCCGGGCAGCAGAGTTCTGGATATACTGGAGCTTATTGAGTAGACTGTTGCAGCAGTCCAGACGGGAGGTGATGAAGGCATGGATGAGGGTTGCTGCAGCTGAGGAGGTGAGGGATGGACGGAGGCAGGCGATGTTCTTGAGGTGAAAGAGCACTGTTTTGGTGATGTGCTGGTCGAAGGAGAGGGAATGATCCAAAATGAGGCCAAGATTTCGGATACTGTGGAGCCTGCTGCGGTGTGGGCCAGTCACACGTTGCATTACATCAAAGAACACTTGCTGTGATTGGCTGCAAGCAAAACCACTCAAATAGTCTTTTTTTCTAGCTCTGGGAACAAAAAGGATTAAATGCAGATATTGTTTGACTGAGGAAGTTTTGACACCTCGCGCACTGGGTTATTTAACTTGGTGCCTTAAAGGCATAATGCACCGATGCTCTGCCATAGTCTTTTGCATATCTAGTGACAACATGTTTCACTCAAATATTACTGCCTAAAGAAGTTGCCTTGGAACACACACACCATCTGTGAATACAGGAACTGGTTTGCATTATTTATTTTGTGGAACCACCCTTGCATGATTGATCGCATGTACAGTTCATACAGCGTCTCTCACTGTTTGCCTTTTGCAGTGACGTACAGAAGAGACAGGAGTTTACGAGAGGTGTACGATGAACGCTTTTTAACTGAGAGACCGGTGAGTGTGTACAAAGTGACTTCACATTGTTTTCTTCTCTTGATATCACTTTTGACTTTGTTGTATCACATATGCACATAACAACATAAGATGGAAAACTTATTTGGTGAATGGCAAACATCTAGAATAATTTGTTTCTAACATATTCCTGCTACGACGACTATAAATAAATGTATTATTTTTGATGTGCTTGGACAACATGTCATACAAAGCAGTTCTGATCAAGCATACCACGGTTTTGCACAGCTCGCTTAACTGAGAATAATCCCCTCAGAGATTTTCTACATCAGCTGAGAAAGTCCTCAGCCAAGTTGCCATAAGCCAAACAGACATCTTTAAGCATAACATTTACAAAACAGGATCCCCGTTCAAACTCCAAAATTGTACCCATCCTGATAGGGTCCATACCCACGTCCAGCTGGGGCAATGGAGAGGAGGGGCCCCTTTGGCAGGCCAGAGGAAGACTACGGCCGCGGTGGGTACGAATATGAAGGAGGTCAACGCTTTTTCCCAAACGGAGGAGGCCCAGCGCGGAATTATCACGAAGATCAGAGGGGCTACCATGGTGACAACATTCATTTCCCCGCTGAACGCAGAGCTGTTCCACCGTCAAGGAGGGTGAGAAGATTAATGTCATGCAACTAACATTGTTGCACACATATGAGCACATTATATTAAATGTCGTGAAAATGTGTGCAGCAGAGATAAAAAAAATGTGTGTTTTAGAAACTTCTAAATATTTCTTCAACTTTGAAGAAAAGTCACAAACAAAAAAATGAATTGAAGTTGCTTGTTTGTTGACAAGCAAAATAAGAATGATGTGAAAGAGATAAAAGCACAGAGTTGGAAATAATCACAGTAAAATTCTCTCACAATTGAGGATTAACAATACTATTAAAAGCACTACATGTGTCAGACTGATTGACACTAAGGGCCTAAACATGCTGCAGACATATTGTAACAGTCTATCATGTTCATATTTTATATTTTGATTTTTTTTTTTTTTGCAGACTTTGGTATTTCATTATGAGGGATTTCTTGTCATATATAGATATTGTATTTTTATTTTACTCTTATCTTTATGGCTCATTGACTAACTTAGTGACATTTCCTGGACGTATCGTCTAAAATTCACTACAACTGTCTTGCCGTGCATTTTTATATATATCGTATTTATCAGCTTGACGGTCATGCATCCATGAGACATAATGACATAAATTGAAGGGGGCAATTTTAGATATATGGAAGATAAACAAACAAAATCAGAGTGATTATGTATAAGTCCCATAGTATCTGTATTTTGGAACAACTGTCATGGATTTTTTTTTTTTTTTTTACATTTTTATCATACAGGAGGACTATCCCTACAGAGTACCCAGGGAAGACCCACACACAGGACGGCCTATGGAGTTTGGGTAAACGCCCTCTGTTTGTCTTAAAGGAGCTTACATTTCCATTTTATAAGTCACACTTCATATGTCCTGCCACTCAGCAGATTTGGTTGCTATCAGTATGGACAGCAGGGGGCAGTGTTGTTCTATGCACTTTGTTATGAACAGATCCTCTGTGTTTGATTCCTCAAATGTGGCTTGTAATGTTGGTCATCTGGCTGAATATACAATATATATATACAATATACAAATGTGTTTAAATGTAAAAGATATTAAGCGGAGAACTGACCAATCGTGAATGCAAGGCTTTACCAGGCTTTTTTCCCCCCTAAATCAATTCTGATGTTGCCTGTTTATGTTGTCCTTTAATTTATTTTGTTCAGCTATTGCTTTGATTTTGAAAAATTGCATAATTTTGTAAATACAATTTTGGCATTGGTGTGTTGGCGTAAAGAAAACACAATAGGTGCATTTGCATCAGGGTGTCTGCAGGTCCTTAAAGCCTTAAAATGTGTTTTAATTAGGCCTTAAAAGTCATTACATGGCCTTAAATTTGAATTTGTGAGCTCTTAATTGGAATAGACTTTTTATCTAATTTCATTTATCCATCTTTTAATTTACTTTTGTCAAAACAGAAAGTCTACATTTCTAATCTTTAAGCCTACCACTGAACCTAAAACTGTCTTGTTACTGTGGACCTACACTAAGCTGTTGGCAAAATGTAGATTAACCTAACTCACTCTATTAACCATATTCCTACATCAAACCTCCCATTGCACGTACCATGTATGTAGGCCTGCTTACCTTAATACATACCTGCAATGCTTAACTAAGAACTTGAATTAAATTTAAGTGTCTGGCACATGTAGACACCCTGTGCATGGTGGGAAATGCCCCTCTTTCTTGTTGGATATTGAGAAGTTTGGTTAAGTTTTAAGGTTGCACCTGTGCTGTCTGGCGGTGCCAAAACAAATGATTTATCTGCGTTAATATTTCCACTGAAGTTCACGTAGCTGGATATAAACAACAAAGAGGTGAAATAAGATAACCCCACCGAGCATGACACGAGATGCTCTGCAGTCTTTTGTTAAATCCCCTCAATAGTATCAACACTAAAAGTTGATAGAGGGCCAATCTTAAAATGCACAGTTGTATACAGCTGCTGTTAAACAGGAGAGAGAGACAGACAAATTACACTGACTCGAATCCAAGGCTTTCACTCCAGACAAACATTTGGAGTTGTAAAAGGGCATCGAGGTCAGTTCCGGCCTGTTGATTGGTGGGTTTGGTGTGGGTAGAGGTCAGAGGTCAGTTGAGACGTGTTGGGAAGTTAGGAAAAGGAGCGCAATGCGTGTCTGGGGTTATTTTTCCATTTTAGAAGGTGTTGTTATTGGGAAGCATAAACTAAATCTGCATATCATACTGTTGACATTATTGTATTACCCTGCGGCCATCAGCAACACATTAAAAATTGATATTCCGTATAATTTAACATCTCAAGCTTCTGATGCATATTTAGACCCTCTGGGGGATCTGTTGCTCCGTGTGCAGTCACAGTGATTAGCACAAAGTATCACCTCTCTGCAATTTTTGTTCTCATGCATTAGCATTAATGATATTTTAGAAAAAGATTGCCTGTATGTAAGCCAGAGTGATGGTGTCCGTTCTGCCTGGATAAATGTTTGTAGTCAGGTTAGGATCCTGATAGAGATCTAAAGAGACTGAAGTGGTTTTGTCAGCATTTTTAAACATCATCTGGCCATTGGATGCATTC